AGGAGAATAGCCCTGAAGAGGAAAACAATGAGTGCAAAAATCTTGGTTATGATACCTACCACATCACTAGCTCTTCACACTATTCTTAAATAACTAAGCAGAATGAAAATCTTTTCCAGCTAATCTCATCTTCCTTTTTGTTCCCTGTCAGTGAAATCATCACCTAAAGCTCTGTTGACAGCTGCTGTTGTAGAGCTAGGGTAAAGATACATATGAAAGAAACTCCATTTTTTTGGGAGACAACACAATTTCACACCTTCGGGTAAAAAAACTGAGCAATCAGAGGGTTGGCTTTGACAGTCTACCTGACTCTGGTAGAATTAGTTTTTTAGAATTGAAACCCATGCCTGTCAGATTATCAAAGTTTCTTCCCACATGACTAATGGAAGGAAGTTAATATGCATCAATAGTGGAAATCAGTTACTAAGCATCAGTAGAGGAGGAAGCAGTAAGAATGTCAATGTTTTAATCTGGAAAAGGTTTCAGCCTCCCAATTTGTGTTGTAACAGCTGATACTCTTCTGCCATACAGTAGTCGTCTTCCAGTAGGAACGGGCACAAAACTGGTAGACTGCTCCCTAAATAGTCACTGAGATGACCAGACCAGACTGTTACAAAAATGGGAGGTTCTTGAGATAAAGGTAACAACTTCAGTGTCCAGGAATGGTTGACTCCATCACACCAATTACAAATTATTATAAAATAGCTTGTATCGTAGAATGAATTGGCCTGTATACCAGTTGAATACTCTTCTGGGCATGAAACCTCACAAAAGTGTAATTTTAGTATGTCTTCAATGTATTGTTAATCATACTTCAAATCACTGGAACTTTAACTATTAGCAGAGGACCATGGCACAGCACAGAAAAAAATGAACCATCTTCTCTGGGGATCCTTAAAGTGTTTTTAAAGGCTAGTAGGTAAATTCAGGAACAACTTTGTTCAAGTGCAGAAGAGAGGAAAAATGAAAATTCCCACCTTCCTCTCTAGAAACTTTGACGTATAATACAGAAGTTATTTCACTGGAGATGCAGTCAATACACTATCATTACCAAAAGAGATATATCTCATTTTAAAAGATGAACATGTAAATTTTTAAGTTTTGACTTTGATGTGATAGTTTAAACTTAAATACACTTAGATAATATACAATCCAGATTGAACTTTCCCCTTTCTCTCCAAATAAATTAATTTCTCTGTGATACTATCCTAACAGATCATAGAATCACAGAACGGTTTGGGTTGGAAGGGACCTTAAAGATATCATCTAGTTCCAGACCCCCTGCCATGGGCAAGGACACCTTCCACCAGACCAGGTTGCTCAAAGCCCCATCGAACCTGGCCTTGGACACTGCCAGGGAGGGGGGCAGCCAGCGCTTCTCTGGGCAACCTGTGTCAGTGCCTCGCCACCCTGACAGTGAAGAACTTCTTCCTAATAGCTAATCTAAATCTCCCCCCTTTCAGTTTGAAACAGTTACCCCTTGTCCTATCACGACACTGCCTGATCAAGAGTCCCTCCCCACCTTTCCTGTAGGCCCCCTTTAGGTACTGGAAGGCCACAAGAAGGTCTCCCCGGAGCCTTCTCTTCTCCAGGCTGAACAGCCCCAACTCTCTCAGCCTGTCCTCAGAAAGGAGGTACTCCAGCCCCCTGATCGTCTTCGTGGCCCTCCTCTGGACCTGCTCGAGCAGGTCCATGTCTGTCTTGTGCTGAGGGCCCCAGAGCTGGACACAGCACTGCAGGTGGGGTCTCACCAGAGCAGAGTAGAGGGGGAGAATCACCTCCCTTGATAAAAGAAAGTGTTTGGATATCACTATACTTAGCCACACTACTTCTTGCGAAACCAAAGAAAGTAGACCTAATAATTTTCCCTATTAAGGGCAGACCAATACTTGCAAGTAAAAGTGAGAGCTGTTTCACTTTATATATTCACTGCTGTTGATAGGCTTTGCTTACTTTTAGAACAAAAATACTGTATAACACCTGGAAGAAACACTGCCTTCACTGAGAAGCGTGAACCATTCTGTATGAATACTAAAGTGGGGAAAAAAAACCTGCCAAAGCTGAAGTTTTAGCCAAAGCAGCTAAAGATACACTTTTTTCTTAACAGTTAGCATGCTGTATCTCTAACCTTTTGTATATTTAAAAAACCAACAACAAAACAAAAAATGAAAAATCAAAAAACCGAAACACCTAGGTAAATTCCATTTTTAAGTGAGGAATCCAATCCCACATCTCCAATGAGTCAATTTCTAGGTCTTAGTCTATTTGGAGATAGCCGTGACTCACCAAGGCTGCTATAAATCCTCTCCAATCTCTTCCAAGAATGTTCACAAGAGAAGGAGGAGGAATGGATAATCCTATTATTTTATGTTGCTATGAAGATACCAGAATCTGAACTGCATAACTCATTTATCCACAACTACAAAGGACACTTACAGAAGCTAAGCTACAGCTGCCTCTGAAGTTTGTTTCCTATATTTTGTTGCGCAGGGTGAGAAAAAAAACAACTCACATTTTCTAAATCTGCAGAAACTATTTTATCATTCAAATACATATTTGAAATTATCCTCTCAAACGATAGAATGGTAAGTTTCAGATTGGTATTTCCTATTTCTTTTAACAAATAAGTAATCATTGCCTTGGACAAAGCTATGCATATGAAGCACCTAATTTATACCACAGTATTTAAACCCCAGCTAACCATATTTTGCTGCAACGGCTCTTCTAATCATTAAATGCTGGTTACCACCTAGCCATAGTTTAATGCATGCAAAATAGTAAGTTTTTGTATGCACAAGAATCAAAATATCTTGAGTAACACAAGTTTTAAATATTTAAAAACCAGTCAAAGATTGCTACTACTAATTAATACAATCAAATAACTATTTGGGAACACAACATCCAAAGTTTTTAGACAGGCCGCAAGACTGATGCTGAAACTGTTACAAACACTACTGAAGACACTTGTTGCAGCTGAATACAATATCTGTGTTCACCAGACAGCTAGAAATTAATGTATATGTTGTAATTATTAAAACTTCTATTGCCACTTATGCCTAAGTTTTCTTAATAAAGAAAGGAACAGTGAAATCAAAAGGCAACTGAACATATTCCACATTGACTTTCCAACACATCAGGGATTCAGGACTGAGATTTTAAAGAGGAATGTGGATATTGATTTCATAGCACTACTACTACCTCAGTCTTGTTATTCATATTCTCTACATTCTCAAAGTCTAAAGGACACATTTTGAAATAAATTTTACTATATTAGAAAATTATGAAAAAGGTATTTGCCATCTTTTTTAAAAAAGGTAGCTAAAAAGTAAAATAAAAAACCCACCTATGTCAGTTGTGTCCACACAAGAGCTCTCAGGAGATTCCTTAAAAGCACATGAAAAGAAGTTTAAGACCTGGTAGTATAAGCTATATCAAGTAGACTGTAGAATTTTCTGCTTTCACTACTTGCTCAACTTTTTTTTTCGGGGTGGGGGGGTGGTGGGGGTGGGGGGTGGTGAAGCAAACCCAGTTATATTCCACAAACTATGTCCAAATGACACCATGGTTATTCACAAATCTGTACACAAATTTGTCTTTATTCACATCTCATTACTCAATGGGTAAAACTATTTTCTTCCCAGACCTTCTATATTTAGACAAATAATTAGAATTTAGACAAATTATACAAGAGCAAAAACCAGTTCATAGATGAATTCTAATCACCAAATCTTTATCAGTATGTATGTATGAGGAAAGTTTCTTAACTGCACACTTCAAACAATCTATATATAATATTTCAAATAGGTTTTTTGCTCTATTTTGTAGAAGTCTCGATAGTTGCATAAAAATCTCATTTATACAGATAAGGAGCCTTTTCTACATGTTTACAGTCTACATCTGACATCACGTTCTTTGGAATTTCTTTTAAAAAAGTCTAAACCTATTCTGTCCAGTTCAATCATAAAATTAGTGTATTATTGGTTAAAATGACATCAACAAAATGAGATACTTCTAACTACCATCTATGTAGAACAAATAATTACGAGTGACCAGAGAGATGGCCCATATCACTCTTCAGATGCTGAATATAAAATTACTTGATTCAGCAGTTAGTAGGTCTTTAAAATCTAACTCTATAGCTATGGTACAGGACCACATGCTCATGATTAATTTCTTAGCTTTTGACTACATAAATACATTTTCCCAAAAAGGCTTTATGGAAGCAGACACAATGTGGTGCCCATACCTGATGTACTGTTAAATGTCCATCTTCAAAATCACTGGTCTGTTGCTTTGACGTTTCTTAGCACGCATGGGAGGAAAAAAAATTCTATTTCAGTTTGATAGGTCACGGACCAATGTTGTACCTGAACTCATTAATTCTTCATTTGTATATACTCTCATTTATCTTGAAAATTATTTAGCACAAACATTTAACAAATGGAGAACATACACAGGACTGAAACAAAGAATACACAGGTGACAGAACAACATTCTAGTCAAACACAGCAGACTAATTCTGATCAGAGACCTACATCTACCATATTACATTTTCTTCTTAACACACAAAGCACCACAGAAAATAAAATTTGTCCCTTTATCAGGTAGTATCACTTGTAGGAAAGGAAGACAACTGAAAACTTTTTGTGCATTTTTCATGGCATATGTTGAAAAGAGTAAGAAAAAGACTAGCTACTCTTGAAGCCTGAGCGTAGAGACCCAAAACTCTATTGCATCTTTTAAAACTATTTTTAGCAGGGGGGTCTTCCAAAACTGTTATGTCTGTCTTCCTGCACAGACAAACCCACCCACAGTCTTTGTGGGTTGTCATGCCGTTCCCCCCCAGGTTATTTCATAAGCAGCAGAAGAAAAAGAGTGTAAGGGCTGTCTAATTTAGCAGAGATCTCCCCTTTTCACACTTCAATCTAAATTTTGCTCTTCATTAGCTATTGCAACTCAAATGGATTTAAATAAAACCATAAAGATAATAGACTCACAGAGAAGTAGCAATCTTCAAATAAATGTGACTTCCACATAAGCTTATTTCACAGTTAGCCTCTAAGGCAAATATTGATGCTATTAAAATTACTCAGACTGAAAACTTTTTAATATCACTGAAAAAGTCTACCCCTTGCCTTGTTAGATTTTAGAATGGCATCTATTACAAGCTACAAGCTCTCAAGTCTGTATACAGTGCAGATTATTATGATGTGCATATAAAAATTATTGCCTAAATCTATTGTTAATATTGCATAAATTACAGAAATGTAATCTTTCCCAAAAGAGTAGATCTCTATCTCCAAACATATAACTTTGCTGGTACTAAAGTTGTAGTGGGACTTCTCATGATTGGATGCATGTGATAGACTCAGACTTAAATAATAAAAATAATACAAGTTCTTTAGCAAGTATGTTTACCCTACTCAAGACTGTCATTAAACAAGTTTCTATTTAACACAGAATTTGTTGTCCTTGTTGTTTTCTTGCATTTCCATTTCCAGACAAATTGATGTCAAGTATCATAAGCGATTTACTTTTTTTTTTTTGGTTAATGGTGAGAAAACTTATCTCATGCCTAAATCAGGCACATAGGTACTACTGACTCCTATAAACACTTCATATTATTAATAATGCCAGGCATACATCTAAAGATTCTCAGTTTTCTAAAGGCTTAAAGCATATGGAACAGAACCTAAATATGTCATCTACTCCTTCTTCCATTTTAAAGCAGGAACAACTATACCTAACTTACCTCTAGGAGAAGTCTAACCATTAAGAGCAACTCCACAATCTCTAAGAAATGTACTTCATGTCTTCCTTATGTTTTCATTTGGAAAGTTTTTCTAGTACTATCCTACAGCCTCTATTTTGTTCTTTCCCCGCCTCTCCCCCGCCCCTTCTCCATTTAAGTCCTATCACCAGTGGCTCTAGTAATTTTTTTTTCTTTTTCTGACTCACTCCAGCTAGTCAAGCTATCGTCAAATACAAAACAAAGTACTCCACCACAAGTTTTACCACTGTTGAACAGTGCAGAAAACGTGTTTTGTGTGCCTTACATACTAGGCACCTGTGCATATCTTCTAGTGCAGTGTGTGCTATGTTCACAACAGACTGATATTCTTAGTTGGCTCAGTCAGCCTTCAAATTTGCTTCTTCCTGCATTTGATTATTCTTACATAAGTCTATTACTTTGAACTTCTCTGAATGAAATTACACAAAGTCTGCTTTAAGTTTTAGCCCAAATTTGTCAGACCATCTTTCACAGTGGTCATCCCTACTTGGTATCATCTGTGAGTTAATTAAGGGTATTCCCTCTTCTACTATTTACTATTCTAAGCAGTTTTCCAACCAGTAGAAAACTGGTCTATGAAACCGCTCTCTCATATAAAGTTAGTGAAGCATATTATATAACTAGTGGGCTCTGGCTTCAGCTTGTAACCTTCTCAGGAAATTTATGTTCACTATTTTTCAAAAAAAAAAAAAAAAGCACAGTAATGTTTCCTTTAGAATATGTTAGCAATACTTTTTTTTTTTTTTTTTTTTTTTTTTTTTAGAAGCCGCATAAAGCATTTTCCAAACATTTCTGGATTAGGAACACAGGAAATCAGAATAAAATCATAATGTCCCATTGAAATGCCTTACTTGCAACAGCTATGAAACAACACAGAGGGCGTTTTGTTTCAAAAAAAATTTCTCAAGGAAAGAAAGAATTTTAAGTGGCTAACATATGACAGAAATATTGCTCTTCTTGGAGGTTGAAATTTAACATACTTGGTCCTCCCATACTTAAACTGCCATATATTAAAAACCCCCCCCAACAACCCACCACTCAAAGGACTGTCATTTTACCCAGTAAAACTTCATGGGGGTACTGGACATTCTATCCATATAGTAAAAATAGGTTATAGACAAATTCAGAATTGAGAGTTGGAAAAAATAACACAAGTTATACTCCAAGGGAAGGGGTTCATTAATAAGTATTTGGGTCTTATAAAGATATTTTAAATGTTCACACTTAATAGCACAGAACTTTATGTATCCTAATTGAAAACACATACCAGGCCCACCTAAAAGCATAGAACAGGAATAGGTAAAATTTGCACATTAGCTTTAATAATCCATAGCCAGAAGCTGTTGTTGGGTTGGGGTTGGTTTGGTTTTTTAAAGGTAACACCAGCCACACCCAGACAGTTCAAATGCTTACTCCATGTACTTTTGTGTTTCAAATAAAAAAAGCCAGTACAAGATATGATTTTCTCAAATTGAACAAAATCCATGAGATGCTATCTTTTATAGCATATATAAATATACATGCATAAAACAAATCTGTAAAAGTGGGGGTTTTCTTATAACAAAAGCTGTTAACACTAGTGCTATCCCCCTACCTTCAACTTTTACTTAAATGTTTACTCCCTAGGATAACTTAAAACTTAACTAGTTACATTAGAAGTTGGAAAAAAAGTAAGATATCAATTTTTCTGCTTTTCTACCTTCTCTGTAATGCAGCACTCTAAATTTAAAATTAATTTGATGAAGCCTTTGCAGCATTAAAGAAACTCCAAGTAAATTTCTTCAATAAGAACTTCTAGGGCATTCAGGACTTAGGTCAAAACACAAAAATTAACAAAAAACTACTTCTAAAAGACTTAAGATACTCTATCTTTTAAAAAAATAACTGTTAGATGCTCTTTCTTTCTGAGTTTTACTGCAGATTGCAGCCAGTAATTTTTTGTACTATTCAGACCCATCAGCATGTCTAAAAACTACAGGCAAAGGTCTGGACCATCTGAATCTTTTTGTATCAGACCCTTATTTCCCAGCTTAACATTTTAATTTCACAGGCTGATTCAAAGTCTATACCTGAACCCTGCATGAACAAATTTTTTGGTAGGACTGTAGTGGGAGAAAGACACTGGGTTGTGTTTTTTCCTCAGACACTCAGCATAAAAGTTTCTCAGGTGAATGTCATAAAATAAGCAACAGCAAAAAACCCACTTCAAAACTTTAAGAAAATAAAGCTCAACATACCTTCGCTCTACTACACATCACAATTTTGCCCAACCACTTATCCCAGTAAAAACACATATTTTATTGAAACACACAGCTCCTTTTCAGAAAATTATAAAATCTTCAGATGCCATACATCTCCCTAAGTAGTATCAGAATTACACTTCAGTGTGCAGTCTTGATTTGACTTCCATCACGATACTTTATCT